TATACGGCAGTGCCACCTTTGCCTGATTGGATGTCCTTCCTAATCAACCGCTAACACTTGTGCCACGGCGGTGAACATATATATATATATATATATATATATATATATATATATATATGTGTGTGTGTGTGTGTGTGTGTGTGTGTGTGTGTGTGTGTGTGTGTGTGTGTGTATACATATATGTATACACACACATACACATCACACACATACACATGTGTGTGTGTGTGTGTATGTATATGTATGCATAATATATGTATGTATATATATATATATATATATATATATATATATATATATATATATGCATATATATAGATAGATAGATAGATAGATAGATAGATAGATAGATAGATAGATATAGATATAGATATAGATATATAGATATATGTATGTATATATATCGTCATTATTATAATCACGATTATTAATATTGTTATTATCATTACCATCATATAGTTCATCAGGAATCTTGCTGAGGAGGTTGAAAGTAATTTCTAGGTAAACGACCTTCACCCTGCCTACCAGGCCCTGAGAAAACTGAAATCTGAGCCCTCCAACAGTTAGCTTGGATGCAAGTGGTATCACAATACCTGTGTCAGACTCACCGATCGGCGAGGAACCTCCTTGAGGTTACGATGGCGACTTCTAAGCTGAACTGTGGGAAAACCGCAGGCATATGTGATATCCCTGCTGAACTGCTAAAGGCTGGGGCTAAACCTATGACACGAGGCTGCCATGTGGTAGTCTAGTACCATTCCCCTTGACCTGTTGAGGGGCGTGGCCATCCCTCTCTGGAACGGGAATGAGGATCGTTGGGACTAGCAACTATCGTGGTATTACACTGCTCAGTATACCAGACAAGGTTTTCGCCCACAGTCTTCTGAAACGGATTCGCGACCACCTACTAAGGCACTAGAGACCGGAGCAATCTGGATTCACTCTTGGCAAGTCCACAATAGACCGGATCCTATCGCTTCGAGTAATTGTGGAACGGCGTGTTGAGTTCGGTCGTGGGTTGCTTGCAGCCTACATCGACCTCAAGAAAGCGTTTGACTCGGTACATCGAGAATCGTTAAGGGAGATTCTGAGATTTAAGGGAATTCCGACATAGATCACTGGCCTGGTAGCAGGCCTATATATACTGGTACTGAAAGTTCTGTAAAGTGTGGTGGGGGCCTGTCGAACTTCTCCCCTGTTAATTCAGGGGTGAGGGAAGGCTGTATCTTTGTATCAACTCTTCTCAACACCTGTATGAACTGGGTAATGGGCAGAGCTACTACAAAAAGTCAGTGTGGAGAACCTGGGCAATATCAGGGTCTCAGACCTTGACTTTGCCGATGATGTTGGTATTCTATCTGAGTCTCTGGAGTCACTGGTGGCGGCTCTTGATGCATTTAGCAATGAGGCGAAGCTCTTGGGCCGAGAGATCTCCTGGACCAAGACCGAGATTCAGGACTTCGGGGACCTGTTAAGGGAACCGTTCAGTCAATTCATGCTTGGGGTGAGGAGGCTGAAGTCACAGAGAGCTTTCCATACCTTGGTAGCGTAGTCCATATCTCTGGGCTGTCAGACCAAGAAGTCAGTTGACGGATGGGTCTGGCAGGAGGCGCCATTCTCGTTATAATCATTATTATTATTATCATAATTAATATTATAATATTTACCATAACCATTCTTATTAGGATAATTAGAATATCAACAGTGATAGTAATACAGCTACTAGTAATAATAATAATGATAATAATAATAATAATAATGATAATAATAATAATAATAATAATAATAATAATAATAATAATAATAATAACAATAATGATAATAATAATGATAATGAAAATTATTATTATCATTATTTCTGTTGCTATTATCATTGTTACTACAACTGTTGCTACTACTACTAGATACAATAATAATAATGATAGATAATAATAATGATAATAATAATAATAATGATAATTATAATGATTGTTATCATTGCCATTATTATTATTATCAATATTATCATTGTTCTTATCATTATTGTTATTATTATAATTATTATTATTATTATCATTATCATTAGTATCTCTATTATTATTATCATTATCATTGTTCTTATCAGTATTGTTATTATTATTATTATTATTATCATAATTAATATTATAATATTTACCATAACCATTCTTATTAGGATAATTAGAATATCAACAGTGATAGTAATACAGCTACTAGTAATAATAATAATAATATAATAATAATAATATAATAATAATAATAATAATAATAACAATAATGATAATAATAATGATAATGAAAATTATTATCATTATTTCTGTTGCTATTATCATTGTTACTACAACTGTTGCTACTACTACTAGATACAATAATAATAATGATAATGATAATTGTAGTAGTGATAGTAGTAATAATAATAATAGTAATAGTAGTAATAATAATAATAGTAATAATAATAATAATAATGATAATAATAATGATAATAATAATGATAATTATAATGATTGTTATCATTGCCATTATTATTATTATTACTGTTATTATTGTTATTATTATTATTATTATTATTATATTTCTTTATTATCATTATCATTGTTCTTATCATTATTGTTGTTATTATTATTATTATTATTATTATTATTATTATTATTATTATTATTATTATCATTATTATTACTATTATTATTAACATCATTATCATAACTACTATTATTACTATTATCATCATTATAATCAATAACTATTATGATTAATATTGTAATAATAATTATCATTTTGGTATTGTTATTTTTATCCTTATTCTTATTCTTGATATTATTAGCGTGGTTATCATTATTATCATTATTATATTCTATTATTATCATTATCATTATTATTATTGTTATTGTTATTATTGTTGTTGTTATCATTATCATTATTACTATTATTACCATTATTTTGATTATTATGGTTATTGTTATTAGTGTTAGTATTGTTATTGTTTCTAAAATGATGATAATGATAATAATAATGATAATTATAATAATAATAGTAACAACAATTATAATGATAATGATGATCATAATAATAATAATAATAATAATAATAATAATAATAATAATAATAGTAATAACAATAATAATAATAATAATGATATCATTATTATTGTTATTATTATCATCTTTATTACTGTAATATTTTTATCATTATTATTATTATTTAATAATTGATATTGTCATTATTATTATAATTGTTATTATTATCATTACTATCATTCCTATTATTATAGTCATTTTCTATACTATTATTACTATTATTATTATTATTATTATTATTATTATCCTTATTACTACTACTATTATTATTATTATAGAAATAATGATAGTTTAATTATAATGATAATGATAAAGATAATGATAATAATAATAATGATAATAATAATGATGATAATAATAACGATGATAATGATAATAATAATAATAATAGAATTCATAATAAAAAAAAATATATGAACAATGACTATATGAACAAAAATAATAATCTTAAGCATGCTATTAGTTATTAGGTCAGCGAAACAGATCCATTTAAAAAGAACAGGAAGATGTCGCTTTTTTTCTCTGCACTGTATAAACATGCTAGGCAAATTTAGCAAAAATTTCCACTCGCCTACATTATAACATCATCAAAAAAAAATTATTTCCTTTTTTTTTTCTTCTTTAGGATGTAACCCTCTGTATTTCCATGGTCAGGCTTTCTTCTCATCTGCACTTTATCTGTAGGGAATATGTATGAAAGGAGGAAAATAAAGATACTCGGCTCCGTTATAACTGAGTTTTTTTTCTTCTGTAGCATATTTGTTCGTTTTCACATTTGATGTAGCGATTTTAGGACCTCTCTCTTTGCTTCTAATTTATTTTTTTTTTCTTCTTTAGGATGTAACCCTCTGTATTTCCATGGTCAGGCTTTCTTCTCATCTGCACTTTATCTGTAGGGAATATGTATGAAAGGAGGAAAATAAAGATACTCGGCTCCGTTATAACTGAGTTTTTTTTTTCTTCTTTAGGATGTAACCCTCTGTATTTCCATGGTCAGGCTTTCTTCTCATCTGCACTTTATCTGTAGGGAATATGTATGAAAGGAGGAAAATAAAGATACTCGGCTCCGTTATAACTGAGTTTTTTTTTTCTTCTTTAGGATGTAACCCTCTGTATTTCCATGGTCAGGCTTTCTTCTCATCTGCACTTTATCTGTAGGGAATATGTATGAAAGGAGGAAAATAAAGATACTCGGCTCCGTTATACTCTGTAGCATATTTGTTCGTTTTCACATTTGATGTAGCGATTTTAGGACCTCTCTCTTTGCTTCTAATTCTATTTTTTTTCTTCATCCACGCTTTATCTATAGGCTGTAGATAGATATATTTAAAAAGTCGCCTCCATTACGAAAGCAAAAACTACGAAAAAGAGCTTTTCTGTAGCACTATTTGCTCGTTTCCCGATCAAGTGTAGCTTTGGATATCACCCTTTCTTTACAAACTCAACTTTTCGTCTCATCGAAATAGCATCTATGGAAATGAAAGTGGAAAAAAAAGTCGCTTCCAATTTAACAAAAGACAAGGAAAAGGTATTTTTCTGTAGCACCTTTTGCTTGCTTCCGCATGAAATGTAGCGATTTTCAGGACGTTACTCTCTGTTTACAAGTTCAGCTTTTCTTTTACCTATAGACTACATAGATAAATAGACCCAATGATATATCCCTTTATCCCGCATAAGCAAAGACAAAAAAAAAAAAAAAAATGTAGCACTTTCCATCTCATTTCAGTATGAAATCTAGCGCTTTTTAGTACGTCACACTTTGTTTACAAATTCTGCCTTTCTTTCATCTATAAACCACATAATAAATAAATACAATACCATATTCCTCTATCACAGCAAAGGCAAAGACTATGTAGCACTAACGTAGCACTTTCTGGCTCGTTTCCATATTGAATCTAGCGCTTTTTAGGACGTCACTCTTTGTTTACACTTTCAGGTAGAAGGCAAGACCGAAGGAAGGAAGAAGTGCATGACGAAATGGCCGATTATTTTATGTTTCTTTTCGCCAGGGAGAGGTCTATTTAATGTGGTTGCAAGGGACGAACTCGAGGAATGATTTTATGGTATGATAGAAGAGATATGCTAAGTTGGATGTAATGAAGTGTAGTGGTTTTAGACGTAGATGTGTTGATTTTCCGGAAAGACGTGTTTACAGGAATTGAGTAATTTTTTTGTGATGACATGGTAAGGGTGGTCGTCACTGATCAGTAAGGAACTAGTATCAGCCTATTGCATTTGGTGTGTACTGTCCTGTTATTTTTATTTATTTATACCGCGGAAACCAAGGCTAAGAGCGATACGACCCCGATAGACGGGGAGCTATGGTATGTACAGGAAAAAATGCAAGCCAAGCCAACCAGAAATGGGTATTTGTTACCGAGAGCGACGCACCTCTAGAGACGAAGTCCCCAAACCAGGGTATCATGCAAACCCATACACAACCCTAATCTTTCCAACCTTCCAACCCCCCTGTGCACCTCCTTTATTAGCACTTCGTGTCAATTTTCAGAAAAAGAACATTAAGAACTATCTGTGTGAGAGTGTTGTTACGGAGGATACTTTCATCTTTTTGTTGTAAATATGAAGCCAGAGCAGCTGTACCTGTGTTGTTTATGACTCTAATTCTTATGCTCTATAAGATACCATTGCCCATCTCTGTTCTTTGCTCTTGGTAACATTAACCCAGAAATATAATAACAATGATAAAATTCCCAAAAATAATGCAAAGGAACACACTCTTTCTTGAGGGCTCCACCTTTTGTTGTACTCTGGAAAGGGGTGAGGGTCTATGAGTGTCAGTGCCAGTGGCATGTTGTCTGCCTCTGACCCTATGCACTCCACCACTTATGTTCTGAAAAGAAACTGGTATATTAATTAACAGTAAATCTTGCCAGAATATATGTTATGTATTCCCACCAAATTTATCAATATACATGGTTTCTATCAATCAAAATTACTATCTCTGGACAGTGTATAGCAGATGCAGTCAATTAATACCAAATTTATTAGTAATGACGACACAGTTTTTTTGTAGTTAGGACTACCTATTTCTAGAATTATCTTATTTCTGTGGTGTGAAATAACTGTAACTATAATAGCATCATATATATTTATTGTAATATACCAATCTTCTGACTCTAACTTATTTTCATAATTTTTTGACAGGATTCTACGTGAAGTGCTGTACCATATGAGCGAGTCATGGAGGATGTGTGTTTAGTATGTAATAAAGACACAAGTGAATCCTTGATAAATATTTACACTGAACTACCATCAAAGAGTGGTAGAATATACATTCATGATCACATATCACAAGTGATTGATCAACAAGAGTTCCAGGAAGCATGTAAGGTGTCCGAAGTTCTTTGTTCATCGTGCTTGAAGATCCTCTTAGGGATCGACAGTCTCCAGTTTGAACTCAGGACGTTGAAGGATGAATTTCACAAGTGTTTCAGAGATGGGGTTGAAATACGGAGGCAAAGAACGGGAGTCTGGTATGGTGTCGAGGAAATGCAAAAGAGTCCTTCCACTAGGAGTGAAATCTCAACTATTTTACCATTGGGAGATAATTTTTGCAGTGGTGGAAATAGTAGTTCAGAGAAGAATGAATTTTTGACAGTTCGGGATAAAAAAGAATTATTTATAAACCAAGACACTCTCTGTGATGAAAAGGTTTGTGAAAATGTACAAGAAACACATGTAAATGATAAGGAAAGTAAACCTTTTGAAGAAGACCTAATAAGCAAACTGTCAAGTGATAATAGTAAGACAAGAAGTGATGCAATACAAATTCAATTTCTTGGAGGTCAGAATGTCATAGATATCAAAACTCACCAAAGAGAAGGTGACTGCGAAGACGACCCGCATTTGCCCGAGTCCGCGGATGACCTGGTCAGTAGTCAGATAGAAAGCCCTGTAACACCTGAAGATGATGCAAGTAGGATAATTGATGTAGAGGATTCAATCAAGATAGAGAAGAACTTTGAAGAAAATGATTCATTTGCCAGTTCAGAAGTTTTTGAAGCAATTGATAGGGAAGATAAGAAGACCTCAGTAAGAGTTCGTAGAAGTGTCAGAAACAAAAGAAATTTGGATGGTGAATATCTCTTACACTTTATGATGCACTTAGTAACTGTGGATAGTTATTATAATGTATTATTTTGAGGAAAGTGTTAATACGAGATCCAATAATTTAAGTTGAAATATGATTTTTTTTTTCTTTTTATTAATGTGTATCTTGTTTCTTCTCACAGCATGTTTGCAAGCACAGAGAAATCCAAAGAAAAAGTTGAAAGGAGAAAAAGATGTTAAAAAAGACAAAATCCTTAAACAGACTGATAAAGATGAAGAATGGACTGAGGAAAGCAAGCCAAAATTGGTAAGATGATTATTAATGAAAGAATTTAACATGATCTTTGTCAGCAATATATAAAAGTAATTTTGATTTGGCACTTTACAAACTTGAGTCATTGAATCATTAGATTGTGTCAGGTTTGCCACAATGTGTGCGCGTGTGTGTGTGCGTGTGTGTGTGCGTGCGTGTGTGTGTGCGTGCGTGTGTGTGTGTGCGCGTGCGTGTGTGCGTGTGCACCCGTGTGTGTGTGTGTGCACCCGTGTGTGTGTGCACCCGTGTGTGTGTGCACCCGTGTGTGTGTGCACCCGTGTGTGTGTGCACCCGTGTGTGTGTGCACCCGTGTGTGTGTGCACCCGTGTGTGTGTGCACCCGTGTGTGTGTGCACCCGTGTGTGTGTGCACCCGTGTGTGTGTGCACCCGTGTGTGTGTGCACCCGTGTGTGTGTGCACCCGTGTGTGTGTGTGTGTGTGTGTGTGTGTGTGTGTGTGTGTGTGTGTGTGTGTGTGTGTGTGTGTGTGTGTGTGTGTGTGTGTGTGTGTGTGTACGTGTGTGTGTGCGTGTGCGTGTGCTTATGTGTGTGTATATGTGTGCATGTGTATTTATAGTAAGGTTAATTCATATGTGCACACTGATTTCCATATATTAGTTTTTAGGGAAAACAAAATAATAAAGTCTTTCATCTATTTTCAGGGAAATATTTCCTCATGTGAAATATGCAAGGAGGTCTTTGATGATGCAAAGCAGTTACTAAAACACCGTGGTGATGTTCACCCCTCTATCTACTGCTATGTGTGCCAGCAATGCGATGATGTTAGATACCGAGAGAAAGCCAAGCTAACACAACATGTCCGGCTCATTCACAAAGTTCCCGTCCATAAGTGCCCTGGTTGTAATCATGAGGTGGGTTTTGCTCTCCTAATAGTGTTTTGTAAGAGGGGTATGAATGAGTCATGATTTCATGGTATTGATAGTGTATAGACCTACACCATTACATGACAGGGCTATGTGGTGGATGATAGTATTGGCAGCAGTTCCAAGCTGAAGTGGCTTACCTTTTTGTTCTGAACCCTTACAGGCTGAGGACACTCTGTAAAGTTTATTAAGAGTTTTGGTGTTCAGTCGGAGCTGGCTCAACTGAGAGTAGTCTTGCAAAAGCCATCAAATTGTTTTTACATTTTGTTTGCTATCGATAGGAGGTTGAAAATGTGAGCAATTCATTTTGATAGGCTGCTTCTAGCTATAGCCCCCTAATTCTACCCTCATTCTCCCATTCCTCTTTTCCTTCTAAGCCAATAGTGCAAGTAAAAGAAATAAAAAATAAGAATTTTCATAATGTTTGGTATGTGCTGCCCCTTCCTCACCACCCCCACACTACACACATTACCTTAGATCTTGGACCCCTTCCCCTAGTACCTCTCCAATGATTTACATTTATTTATCAAATATTTGTAATATGTCTCTTTTCAACCATGTTTGATCACAGGTTGTCTTGCATCCACATTTGTAAATGTGTAGCATACATTAAGATACATGCATAATTAGTTTTTAGTGAAGCATAACTCATTTAACCTTATTTTGTTTCTTTACAGGCTCCAAGCCAGAATGCCCTGGACAAACACATCATTAATGAACATCCAGAATCCCGTTACTTTGAGTGTGGAATTTGCCACAAGGCTTTCAGGACTTACCGCTACCTCAACTTCGCTCACATGAAAAGATGTCACTTTGGCCTTCCAATTAAATATACTTGTGATAAATGTAACAAGGGATTTGTAGATAAGTCGTCATTTAGAAACCACAAGCTCACACATTCAGATACCAAAAATTTTACATGCGAATATTGTGGCTCTTTGTTCCATAATCCATACATTTTGAAAGTTCACCTTAATACACATACTCAAGAGAAAAAGTATAATTGTAATGACTGTGATATAACATTTTTACGACATTGTAATCTCATTGCTCATAAAAAGCGTTTCCATAGCTCTGACGATGTTAGATTGGTTTGTGAAGTGTGCGGCAAATCCAAGGCAACACAACAGGACTTACGGAGACACCAGCTAGCCCAGCACTCTAAGGAAAAACCTTTCTCCTGCCAACAGTGTTCTCGAACTTACACCTCAAAGGAGAGCCTGAAAAATCACCTGCGAACCCACGCTGATGAGAAACCATACAAGTGTGACTGTGGCAAATCATTTCACAAGAGCAGTGTCCTCCGTCGTCATCAGCGGTCAGTGCATCTGGCGCAGAGGCCGCCACACATTTCCACCCATGAGAGTATACAGGAAGAGTTGGACAGTGTTCACATTGGAGACGAGGACATTGAAGGGGAGGAACGAATGGTAGTCATCACCCTTAAGGAATGTAACCCGCCTGCTGTTTATACTGTGCGGAGTGCATCCTCAAACTTAGAGGAGATCATGGTGACAAATGAGAGCTCACTGCAGTCACCAGAGAGCACGTTCATCTCTGGAGCACTCCCACATACACAGACCATAGACACCATACCAGTGCTACATCACCAGTTGGGAAGTATTGGAACAGGCAGAATTGGGATTACAACACCTGTTCTTTTCACTACACTCAATGCAAACCCACCCAGTGGAACCCATGGGCAAGAGGCTCTGCAGGAGAACTTGCCTCAGACATTTGCCACAGAGATGACCTCCGTTCCCAGCGGTATCCAGGCTAATGCAATCCCTTTCCAAGAAGAGAATGGTTCCACAGATTCCATAAAAGATGAGAGAATAGTGCAGTTTCAGGATGAAACTCCAGTCACATGTACACAACTGACCACTCAGATACTGCAGTTACCACCTCTCCAGACTAATCCTTCCAATAATGCCCAACTGACTTATGTTACAACTTGGCCATTTCCAGACAGATAACATATTAAAGTAAGTTCAGGAAACTCAGAGTCACTTCAGAAACTGAAGTGCATTTGAAACCAATATATGTTGTTTCTTGTTTACCCCTTGTTTTTACATCACTGTCAATTCCAATCAAAATACAAAATGGGTTATGTTATAGAAGTGCTTTGTTATGAAGGATTTTAAAAGGTTTTTTAAAAATTAATTTCTCATTAAATCTACAATCCTTTTCTAACAGATTATTGATATTTTCTTAAACTATATCCTTAAAAGGAGGATAAAATAACAAAATACTTCTTTCAAAATGTATTAAAATTTTCACAGTAAAATACATAATTTTCTTATAAAATGCTATTACAGATTATATATACACTATTCATATTAATAAAATACACTAACTGTACATTTAACAGTATACTTCACTTTCACTGCATTACAAATAAAAAATTTCATGCACTCTCTCTTTTTTTATCCTAACAACTTTTCATAAGAAAGGCACAATGTTTACTAATGATAAAATGTATAGAATCAGCTGGGGATGATGAACAATGACAAAGCATATATGGCAGGGACTTTCATATTCACTGAATTAATGAATTCCGTTATGTATGTGAAAAAATAGGAAGAACACGATAAGGCAGTGATAAACATCTTGGCTAACACAAGTATTATATTGTGTTTCTTTAATTTCTTAAATATATCAAGCTATCTCGGTCATTGTATATGGACATAAAGCATAAATCAAATACTGAGCAGTAATAAAGTATATTTCTATGTGTATATGTGTGTGCGTGTGTGTAATTGTGACAAATCTTTCCTATCAATTACAACCCCCTCAATCTCTTGCTTGTTGCCATGGGGGGGGGGGGGGGGGCTTAGGAAACAGAGACTGAGGCCCAATGTAGGGGATCAACTTTCCTTCAATAAATAATAGTATCAACAACAATTCAAGGTGTGATTCTCATACTTCATACCAAATAATAATAATAATAACAATAATTATTACTATTATTATAATAGAACTAGTATGAATCCATAAAGTTTAAAAATATAGTGATTTGCACCAATTCATTGCTTACATGATTTTTTTATTTATTGAACTAATTAACTAAATTATTTATGAAATTAAAAGCCTTTATACATGAAACATCTGGATAAAATGATGCCATATATATTGACTTAAACTTATAATCCATGAATTATACATTATCAAAGATTACCAATTTAAAACATACAATTCAATGTATTTCTTAATGTTAAAATTTCAACATGAATTAACAATACTGTTAAGTTACATAAAGAATAAGTGCATATTAATAAGTTCATTATTTGCCAACACCCTTGAAATCAGAAGAAATTTTAGATTTTTTATAATATTCAATTTATATTCCCTGGCAAGAAAATTATATATGTATACTTAATATGAACTTAATATACACTCATTGCAATATTAAACATCAAAATGTGCCAACAAATTTATAAAATTTAATTATATAAACTTCAATGTTTGCCAAATTACTAAAATTTTAATAAAAATTTAGTTATATTTAAACTTTAAAATATATATACTTGTATATGTATAGATGTGTATATATCTACATTTAAGTTTGCATGTATATCTACAATTATATATAATTGAAATTCAATAATCTAATACAAATACAAAAAATGTGCAACTGACTAAATAGTATAAAAAAAAAAAAAAATTTAAATAACATAAAACTGAATACACAAAAAAAATTCATTTCCATCAATTTGTCGAAGATTTGAACTGGCATTAGTATTTTAGCTGAGGTGAAATGTTCTTCTTTTGACCCACATGGGTTTAACTTCAACAAATCTCTCATAAAAAGTGTCAGCCCATTCAACAAACTTTTCCCCATAATGACCACAAATTTCCAGTAATGCTTGGCAATCGTTCTCAGCGCGGTGAGCTTCAAAAGTACAGCCAAACAATCTCTTGTAAATATTACTCTGAGTATAAGGCTTTGTCCCATCCCATTTTCTCTTGTTATTCTCACCATAATTCAGACTGCGACGGACTTTCTTTGTGCTGCTCCCTGCCTGAGGAATGAATCCTGGTGTTCCTGGGAGGTACACTCTAGACTGTTGTTCTGGTGTGATGGGTAATTCCATTGGCTCCTTAGGCTTCACTGGTGTTGCTGGCATTTTGGGTCCTTTTCCTGGAATGTGATCCTTTACTGGGGTGATGGGCACTTCAGGTGACACTTCTAGTAATGGATGATTAGCTTCCTGATTGGGTGCCGACTCGAGGGTTCCGTTGACTGCTTGGGGCTTTTCTTCCTCTTTGATTTCATACCGAGACCTCTTGCTGATTGGGCCTACCTCCATTAGTTCATCGTGCATTTCCTCAAGCTGAAATGACTCTGCAAGCTCTGTTATCTCTAAAATATCCCGTCGTTCACACTCCCTTTGCTGGGTTATGTCTATATCCTTGATGGCTGTCAGTGTATCCACACATTGCAGATCGCAAAACTTTTCCAATGCAGAGACATTATTCAGTTCTGCCTTCAGCAACGGGAAGTCATATCTTGAGCCATTATGGGCCACAAGTGACACTGGTTGTGGGAGATCCAGGAAGAGGTTTAGGGCCTCAGCACTGGCATCTCTAAAGCCTGGCAAGTGATGGAGCATGTCGTTACTGAGCCCTGTGATCTCTTCAAGCTTTGGTGTTATCAGCTTTCGAGGATAATATAGTCTGGTATATTTATGTAACACACGGGGTAGCTTTGGTACTGCTGAGTAAGTTTTTGTGCCGTTTGTTTTGCTGACTTCATCTTTTGGGCTGTCTACTTTTTGGATTTGGCTGTCTTTCATACTCAGTAAATCCTCCCTTGACACAGCTATCAAAGACAATTCCAAAATTCTTGTATCATCTCCAATCAGACCCGTAGCCTCTGTGTCCAGGAACACAAAGGTTTGTATTTTGTTCTTTGTGGGCGGTTCTGGAGTTTCATCCATGTTCACAGGTGCTGCTGCGTCCACTGGAAAGAAAATGTAACAATCAGGAGCAAGTCATAAAATATATACAACATAGAAATATTGCTGAGTCTACTAATATCAAAATATTAATGTAATCTGAAGTAAAGAATAATAATATATAATAATAATAATAATAATGATAGTACAATATAATGATGCCCTTATCATTATAGTAGCTACTATAACAAAAACTACTACTAGCTACTACACTGCTGCTATTACTAAACCAAATTACCACTATATTTTAATACAAAGCCATACTAAACTACTAATTGTCTTTCTCTATATAATTTATTTAGAAAAAGACTATATAACCTTTTACTGTATTTTAAATACAAAAGTAATTGGTCTAAACACAAAGTTAGTTACATAAATCTGATTTTGAAGCATCTTATTTTGTACTTTCACATCCAATATGAATATCACTTGTAGCTTATTTATAAAGGATTTTTTTTACTGGATTATTAGAATTCAGCATCATACATACCAATCTTTCAGGGGATAAGTACATACAAGTCTTGTATCATATATAACTCGTTTAATATAAAGGTACTATTCATTACTGTCAACTCAACATTATTAAACCTAATAGTCTGCCCACTTCTACAAGCACCCTGTCTGTTCAAGTTTATATTTAACCTGCTTTTGAACATTCCCATTAAAAGGATAGCTCAACTATCTAAAACTAGAATCAGAAGGAATGCCTGACCTAGTGTTCTTTATATACAACTGCCTTTTTCTTATGAAATGACAATCTGTTTTCTTCGATCACCCAAGAGATGTTCAAATTTTATGGTTATAACACTATTAAATATGTTTAGAAGTTAGTCTAAACACACACACCTTGGTGGAGAGTGTAATTATAATGTAACTGGCTGGCCAGAGGTGACCTGGGTAAATTCTGACTGGTCTCACCTGAACTACGGTGTTTTGACCTAACAGGGAAAGCACTTCAAAATAGCTTCCTCAGTTCTGAGAAATAACAAGTTCTAAAAATATGCATCTATTTGTTCTTCCTGGTACAGCATGTAAATATAAATAAGCAAATCCATGTGAAGATGAAAACTGGTAAGTATATTGCCTAGGACCCAAAAGAGTGGTGTAAACTGCAAAGCAGATTGGATAAGCATATCTAAAAATAAATAAATAAATAAATAAATAAAAGAAAAAATGGAATGTAGCCAACAGCTTACCACAAGAGAGAAATGTAGAGAGATGTCCTAAGTAAGGAATGGGTGTTTCCAGATGTTAATAAAGGGCTACATATGGATAGAAGGTATTAATAGGAATATACTATATTTGAAAAACTATAGTACGCAGTCAAGTTTTAGAAAATTACCAAAATGCCAATCACTACAATATAAATTGAATCTGGTGAAATGATGGATAATAAAACAATTAGACTGATAAACCAGCAGTGACACAAGTAATCAAAGTATTATCCCTGCCTAGTTTGTTGATTATTAAAATGATTTCTGTAAGGATAATATTGGATTTTATATAGCTCTTGATAAATTTAAAGTTTCAACCAGCCACTGACTTTTGAAACATATATTTTTGAAATGCAATATTCCTTAGTAGTTTAGTGCTGTTATGCTGTTGTTTTCATGGCATTTGACTCAATGACAGGTGACTGAAATTGTATTCCCTGATGGCAAAGTTGATAAAATGTGTAAGAGTCAGCTTCGTACTGTATTTATTTGGGAGGATTAGCATGATTTACACACAGGAAAACAGAAAAACACTAACTTTAAATCATTTTTCCTGAAACTCTAAGGGAGTGGGAGCCAAGTTTCACCTATGCAATTACAGTATCCACTTCTACTGTTAAATCCAGGATTACTTTTGCCTGAGTGATGCACAATACAAATGCATTAAATCATTATTGGACAAAAGTAATTTTTAGTATGAAAATGTTTTTAAAAGTTTCCTGATGACCGTATCAAATTTATGCAAAGGCTTCATTAACTGATGCACAAATAGCAATGGTATTTTATTTGATTGAGTGCATTAACAAATAGTACTGCAAAGCAATGCAAACCAAGGAAAAAGAAAAAGAAAAAGAAGAAGAAGAAGAAGAAGAAAAAGCAATTGATAGCCATGTGTCACTCCTTCGTTACAACACATGCAGTCTACGCGGATATCATTTTCAAACAACAAACTTTGAATCTCTACTGACACGACCGCCATCTTTGAAAGCTTACAGGATGATACATCAACTCTCAAAAAACTCTATGGGCATCCAACCAATCTTTCAGTAAAATCTAAGGCCATAACTCCACCAAAAGCCTCTTGTGTGCCACTAACCAGGGAGCTACGTCCTCTGGACCCTCGTGGCCTTTAGACAAAATGTCCTAACCCAACATCCAACCTAACCTAACATCGTGGTATACATTCCCTAGCCATGGGGTTCAGGCCCCTAGGCCCCCCTGGTAGTATATGTACTGAGCCGAGGGCTACACCCCCTGGACCCCTGTGTGACATTCCATTTACACTAAATACTCAATTAATATAGTAAATGATCGTAATAATTAAGCGAGAACGTCGATCTGTTTTATGTTGCATCGAATGTTGGAATTTTGAATTGACCTTTTCAACACTTGAGACACTTATTGAGCTCAGATATCTAACTAGGATGCTTACTAGTGTATATTCCTTCTTTGTTGCCACTGTATAGTCTTTAGAATAACCCAAAATGAACATTAATGAGTTATGGGGTCAGTCTAGAATTCACCCTCACAGTGTAAACAAGATGAGCGACTTAGCCAAAATTGGGCGATCTTCTCTGTTCTTTTATGAATAGCATCCTTGGTAAGCATTTGCCACAGAAGAACTTTGTCTTGGTTTGTATTGTGCTTTCATTTCATATAGATTTTATTACCCAACTCTACCACTACCTCATACTACATATTGTCCGGATTTTGAGCAGCACTATCCCCAATAACCAGTGAGTAGAGGACTGCCAAACCTATCCCTATTAAGTGCTGCTTTGGAACGCAAGTTAGACCTGCCAATTTATAAAATTATCCACAATTAATGGGGTTCTATGCCTATTATCTCACACTCCTATATCTACCTAAGAATATGCATGTCATAGCTACACTAGGTATTACTTGTACTTCAATTCACGGAAAATGGAAATAAAACTTTCCCCAAACTCTTGCGCAACTGTCAACGCTACCAAGTTCCGAAGAAAGTTTCCTGCATGTATACTTGATATAATAGATGTATTTCAAGCAAAATTACTAATGTAACTCACGGTCCTTTACACCTGTGATGTGAATAACAAGTATCAATACTCATTATTATCTATTAACAGACGAAAAGGGAGATTTTTCACGCACTTACTCTCGCATGTTCTCCCAGCGTGTTATTGTTTATTGTTTACAGACGCTACTAGTTCGGGAGGCTCATTGGCTAGCTATAGTCTTCCTGTTGTGGTTTTAACTATCAAGATAATTATTTCCGAATGGGGTATTTTGTTAGAAATAGAGATAGTTATCTGGTAGGAAGGTCTATTATTCCTGATAATTTTAGGAGAAATAAGTATATGTTGAGAAGTCTAAAGTTGAAATAAGAAATGAGTCTTTAGCTAACTTTATGTGGAGATTGTTGTCTAGAAAAGGGATTTCTTATTTAGTAGATATTTTGTCTAATTCTGACATTATTATAGTCTATTTATTAACGAAGCAACACACCACTGCGAAATTTATATGAAGACTTGCAGATGTCCTTTAAATACTAGATAGTCTCCCTTGACTCTACAAAG